TGAAATTATTCACAAATTCATTGATCGAGGACCCAGAAACGGTAGGAGTGGAGGAAAATAGATGAGTGAATAATTCACTAGTACTTTCAGTGATGTACCGTTTTCTTACTATCTTTGTTTGAGCACTGTTACAGACAGAAATAACAGCGTTAAAGAAAACACAAAAATGATCAGATAGAGCAACATCTGTCACTACAACCTTGAGAGTATTTAAACCTCTGGATACAATCAAATCAAGAGTGTGACCCTTAATGTGAGTGGGCCCTGTCACATGCTGAGTCAGCGCATAATTCTCAAAAACACAGTATAGTTCCTTGGTCTCTCTATCCTCAAGGTTGTCAACATGAATGTTGAAATCACCAGTGACAATCACACAGTCAAAATCGATACAAATAACAGACAGCAATTCAGAGAGGGCATCATAGAAAGCTGCACAGTATCTTGGTGGCCTGTAGATATTTAGAAATATAGCTCGAGGAGAAGACTTTAGCAGAAGAGCTACATATTCAAATGAAGCAAAACTTCCTGATAACTGTGTACATTGTAATGAGTCTTTATATAAAATAGCGACTCCACCACCTCTTTTATTTATTCTGTTTTCGCTCACAAAACTAAAATTGGGAGGGGCCGATTCAATGAGAACAGCCGCATTGTTACTGGAATCCAACCATGTTTCAGTTAAAAACAAAAAATCAAGTTTATGTTGAATAATAAGATCATTAACTAAAAACGATTTTCCCACTAAGGACCTAACATTCAGCAGGGCTATTGTTAGTGTATTAGTGGAATCATCTAGGCCTACATCATTTGTTAGAACAGAATGTGGTTGGCGGGGAATAGGCACTAAGCTAACTGAGTTTGATTGTCTCTTATTCTTGCTTTGCAGATTTATTTCTTTGTATAATCTATTTTTTATTCTGACTGGGATTTTATAGGAGTTTTGTGGGCTAATACAATTATTTTTGCATGTAGGAGAACTTAATAGGGACTGCATAACAAAGAATGGGGGGGAAATTGTCAAGGATGAAGAAAGTGGGCTGGATAGAGGACCTGCATTTTGACACATAACTTGTCAATCAGATCTAGATGAAAGATTGTCAACAATAAAGTTAGTCAAATTGAAACTTAATTTTCTAGACCCTTTGCTATTGGGATGAAGCCCGTCGAATCTGAATAGCTGTGGTCTGGCCCAAAATGTATCAAAGTTACTTATATAGGCCAGGCCTGTCGCTGTGCAAAAATTGTTAAGCCATTGGTCTAGGTTGAATAGTCTGCTGAAACGTTCGTTTCCACGCCTAATCGTTGGAAGAGGACCCGACAGGATGCAACTTTTGCCCAAGTCTTCAACGATAGAGGTCAGACACTCAAATTCACACGTACCCACGTGGACGATCACGGTATGCACAGATGGATGTAAAAACAAATAAGAATAATTAAAACAGTTTAGAATAAAAAATCAAATAAAGTAGTACTGGTCCACCCCTATCTGAGATGGAAGAGATTGAGCCGGTTTACGGTGCCACTGGACCTCTAGCCCAGGGACGTACTCTGCTGGGGTGGTGCTACACCAGTAATGCCCAGCGGGGCCCCCACAGAGCACGCTTCGTGTGCGCTGTCTGCTGCCGTTACCCTTAACGACGCTCTCAGCGACTTCTTATACAGCAGTATAACTTACTCCTTCACTCGCCTCATCGGAGTAAAGACTCTCCCGCTCTCCTTCAAAATCTCTTCCAGAGATTATAAAAATAAATAAATTAGAAATTAGAAAACAAACAAAGACAAAACCAGTACAGTAAAAACAGTCGGACGGACAGTGGCACAGTGCTCATTCAGTAAATGCATAGCTAAACAGATGTGTTTTGAGTCTGGATTTGAAAGTGACTACTGTAGGAGCACATCTGATCTCCTCTGGAAGCTGGTTCCAGCTGCGGCTGGCATAATAGCTAAAAGCAGACTCTCCATGCTTAGAGTGAACCCTTGGTATTTCTAGCTGATGTGATCCTAATGATCTGAGTGATCTGTTAGGTTTATATTCAGTGAGCATATCTGCAATATATTGAGGTCCTAGCCCATTGAATGATTTATATACCAGTAATAATACTTTAAAATCAATCCTAAATGTAACTGGGAGCCAGTGTAAAGACCTGAGGACTGGTGTGATATGTTCATATTTTCTGGTTCTGGAAGGTTTACGAACCTAACAATAGAGTCCCCAATACACATAATTTCTGGGGCTTCTTCGCCGTAAATCGTGATTACCGGTGAGTAACGCGAGAGGAGCATATCTAGTTTAGTGTTAGCAATAGCGTTAGTAGCTGCAAGCTCGGTATTGCCGTTGGAGGAACCAAGCGCTGAAATGGTGATAGAGGCTGAGTGTGTGGCCAGACACACAGGCCTGACCGTTGGTAGACACTCACCAGCCGATGGAGGTCCCTGTGGTGCAACAACGGCAGCAGTTGGAGAAGGGTCCGGGGGCGAGGGCATCGGAGCCAACAGCCGAGATCGCTTGTTCCATGGGCCACTGGAAATATATGACTCGCTGACAGGAGATCCGCGATGCGGGGGACTGATGTAGCAGGAGGAGCCCTTCCTCTGTCTCCTAGGCCTTAAATGGAATTCTTCCTCAGGTGTTAGAGTTACAACCATCTCCAGGCTTTCCTCGGGGTCATGGCCGGCAAGGGGGGCAAACCGATTAAACAGCTGCAGTGTCCCGTCATCTTTAGTCGTGACCTTGTACTCATTTGGCAGCAGGTTCCACAGTTTGGAGCCCTTAACAGAAAAGGCTCTTTGCCCTTGTGTAGTTAAGGCCCTATGATTTCCACGATCACGGAATCGCGGACGGAATTACGGAATTGGCAAATTAACGTGGAATCTAGTGTTAATGCGGAATTTCGTGGAATTTTACCTATTTGGATTGAAATCCTGTTTGTGTGTGGGAGAAGAACGTATGTCTGGTGAAAATGCAGACCGGGGGAAGCAAATCTGGGCGACACAACCCCTCCCGTCATTTCAGCTCCAATGACGGCATCAAAACAATGAAAGCATGGCGAAGCGGCTCTGCTTTCCTCTGCTAAAAAGCATAGACAGTATAAGAAGTGGACAGAGTCATCTCATTGGAACTCAGTTGAGACAGTTGAAGCCCATTTTTAGCGATTTTTTAGCACTTCCATTCCTGACGCGCAGACTCAAACCGACTCAAACTAAGCTTGATGACGTGAGCAACCTGTCTGACAGACGTTAATCTTCTAGTAGCTGTGTGTGAAAATTGCCAACGTTAATCTTGCAGAGACGGGGAACTTGAGCAAAGAGTTCTTTGGCGTGAGTGAGCAGGAGTAAGTATTCCGTTGCTTTTATGGACTCGTTATCTATGGCCTTCTCCCTTGACGGGACGTCCCCCCGATTGCCTGCGAGCTTCTCCTCCTGTCTGTACGGTCATTTCTGTACAGCGCGACAGAGAGTCGATTTATTTTTTTATTTTATAATTTATTTTACTGGACAGTTTAAAGCTCATAACCATATTTTGTTGTTACTTGAAGAGTGCAGTGTCATGTTTCATCATGCAGGATTTGTCCTGAAAAGGCTACTGAGTAAATGTCTGTAATTTAAGGTCATTCCTATTTTATTTGTATACATTTTAATCATTAACTTTAAAAGCACACTCTTTTTATGACTAAAATAACAGTAAATTGGAAAAAAAAATTAATTCCCAAAAATTTAAACGGAACAGAATTTCCCAAAAAACGGAATTTGGGAAAAAATCGGAATTTGGGAAAAATAAAACGGATTTCATAGGGCCCTATGTAGTCTTACGAAAGTTCATCCTACAATTCCCACCTGCCGAACTCCTAGTGATTCTACTTGTATCATTCTGTCTCTTTATCAATTTACATAAAACAGATGGTGTCTTATTGTGCAAACGGATCAATTTTATATATGACAGGTTCTTAAAATTGGTAAAAGTTGGCATATTAAAAAAAAAATTAAAAGTTGATTTGATGCCATCGATTTGGCTTTTTATCCATTATTTTAAGAGCTCGATTATACAACATTTCAATTTTTTTAATTAAGGAATCTCTTGTTTGAGTCCAAACTATTCCAAAATATTCTAGACGCTACCACATGTGTTATATTAACATATATATTTTATGCAGATGTTACACTTAAACTTAACGAATAAATGTAATATTCCAACTTTAATCAGTTAGTTTTGTAAGTTCATGTAACACAATTTCCATCGGTGTGCACAAGCAGGCGTCCTTCGTTACCATGGTAACCGTCCTGCTTCTGCATTCCACTTTCACCTTTTCGTGCATGGACATTTTTATTTTTTATTTATTTTATTTAATGATACTACAGATTGCACTCCGTAGACCACACTGACTTTAATGAAAACAACTGTTTTGTGATGCGTTTACACGGCTTTGACCAGCGGGTGTCGCTAGCGTGGCACTTCGTTCTGCTCCGCTGCTCTGCGCATGTGTAGAAGCGCATGTGTAGAAGTGTCTCATTATTATGAGATGTTAAGTCATTATTACGAGAAGGTTTCTCATTATTACGAGATGTTAAGTCATTATTACGAGAAACTTTCTCATTATTATGACTTACAGAATTATATTTTTTTACTCAACTGTGGCGGAAACGGGCTTCCATAGATAATAGACTATTATGTGTGCCAAAATTAAACTTTAAAATATTTTCTAAATGTGCTGCTGTAATTATACTACAGTCTTTGGTGAAAGAAATAGTTTTAGTTAAATCTATTCTGAATGGCAAACAATTACTTTGTCTCTATTTTGCACACATTCCCACATTTAATTGGTGTCTGATTACAGCAATAAACCCTTAATTAACTTAAAGCTGGATAATCTCGAGTGATTGTAAGTGTGATGATCATCTGCTAAATGAGCAACAACGACCACAATTCACTCCTTCAGTCAGTGAAGCTCCCACAGCCGTTCATGAGAGTTTAAATGCTGGGGAATATTCCCATCTTCCCACAGGAGAAGAAGCAAGCAGGAGGAATTACTCCAGGAGAAACTACGGACATACTATTGTAAAGATGGAGATTAAGGAAGAACCCTGCAGAATAAAAGATGAAGATACAGAGGAACAAATAGGTTGGTGTTTTCCTTCATTCTCTTTAATCACTGATGAGGAACATTAAGATGAAAACTGACATATAACAATAACATCTAAAACTAGATACTAGTAGACTCAGGAGTAAACTGGATATGTGCAAAATTGAGAATTTGAACAACGTTTATTTTTGTTTCTTGTGTATCCTTTTATTGAATTATGGGAATTCCATTTGTTTTTATTTTAGACCTGATGGAAGTGAATGAAGACAAACAGCATCAGTTTCAAAAACCGCATTATTTCACAAATGAAGATGGAAATGCAGTCGTTTCAAAGACTGAAAAAAGTTTCAAACAAGCTGAAAAATCTGGAGTCGAAGGATCTTTCACCTGTTCTGAGTGTGGAAAGAGTTTCCTATCTAAATCAAAGCTGAACAGGCACATGAAGATTCACACCGGAGAAAGGCCTTATACATGCACTCAGTGTGGAAAGAGTTACAGACATAATGGACACCTACATGATCACATGAGAATTCACACTGGAGAAAAACCGTTCAAATGCTCTCAGTGTGGAAAGAGTTTCACTCAGAAAAGTCATCTCAACACTCATCTGCCCATTCACTCCGGAGTGAGATCATTCAGCTGTGATCAGTGTGATAAAACATTTGTTTTGGAATCAGGCTTAAAAAAACACCTTAAAGTTCATTCTGCTGTGAAGCCTCACTTTTGTTCTTTTTGTGGAAAGAGATTTTCAGAAGTGCAACATTTAAAAGGGCATGAGCGTATTCATACTGGTATGAGACCTTATGTGTGCTTTGACTGTGGAAAGAGCTTTATTCTATCCTGCAACTTAAAACAACACCAGAGAGTTCATACTGGAGAGAAGCCGCACAAGTGTTCACACTGTGGAAAGAGTTTCTCTCAGTCAGGAAGCCTGAAAAATCATGAGAGAGTTCATACTGGAGAGAAACCGCACCAGTGCTCTTCATGTGGGAGAAGTTTCAGCCTATTGACTAATCTACAACGACATAAGAAAAAGCTTTGTCTGAATGTGTCTAAGTGATCAATGTTCAGATCCATGACTTGATTTGATATTCAGATTAAGCAAAAAATGGAATTACCTTAAATATAGTAATTTAATCTAAAATTAGGAGGAAGGTTAAACATTTTTTTTTTTTTTATTATTGCATTGTGTTGCATGTGTTGTTCTTCCGACACCCGTATTGATCCTCTGTTGTGTTGCACATGCGCAGTAAACACTGAGTGTTACTGTATACAAGATGAACTGAACAGTAAAGCAACAATGTGAAAATACTCGTGTCAGTGTCATCGCTCAAGCAGTGCATGGTCATCTCACACAGATAAAATTATATTTCAGAAAACTAGTGTGTTGCCATAAAATTATGAAGGGATGTGTTTTGTTATTTTATTTTATTTTATTGCACATATGAGGCACGTGTGAAACAATTTTAACAATAGTCTATCAAATATCATTCATATCACAAACAGCTTTGTGGCGAGCGCGAGCAGGCCGAGGGCAGTGGGAGAATGGCTCCAGGCCGGTGGCGTGATTGCTGATGAGCGACACCTGCACGCACCGGTCTTGTATCTCTCACGTAGGAGCGGAAGCATAGGAGGAGGTACGACGGTGAAGGACGAGAGAGGCCAGGGGCCTGTTTCAGTAAGGAGCCTCAACCAACTGCTCTGAGTTGATTTACCCTGAGATGGGAAACTCTGAGTTCCCTTTCGAGTGGGGAAACTCCTTTTCCTCGATTTACTGAAGCCTATTGTAAAACGCATTTGCAACTGCACAGCCAGCACACTGAGCGCCTGAACTGAGCGCCTGACACGCTCATAGGCTGTGCTGCAGCAACTGCACATCCAATGGCCGGGTGACTCTGACGTGTGACCAATGAGCTAGCCTTACGTCAGAGCCCGTCGAGAGGGCGTGACCAATTCTATATAGACCCCCGAATTCGCCATTATAGCAGATTTATACTCCTTCAGCGACAGTACACATGTCCCCGAGCTTTTTACTGGATTTCGCCGTAGAAACAAGCCCTTCAGCTGAGCGACCCTCTCTTCAGCAGACTTCGTTTACACTCCGTGGTCTCACCTGTGGCTATCCAGCGACTGCCTATATCCTTTCTGTTCAAAGTTTTTTTATTAAATGACAACTTTGCAAAAACAATTACTGTACGATGAAATGCACATTTTCCCTTTTTTTTTTTAAACTGAACATAACCCACCCAGAACCCACCCTTCCATCCAATTACAAACAAGTCTGCATTTAAGAGATCCTACTAGAGATGATATAAAACACAAGTCAAGATTATAGTACATAACGGTGAAAAGGGTAAGAAAAATAATAATAATAATATTACAATAAAAAAATTAAAATAAAAAAAATACAAAGAGGAGTGTAGCTGCTCTGATATTGTTGTAGTTGGTTTCTCAAAAAATGTCAAGAAGGGGCGCCATATTTTGTAAAATTTATTCTCAGATCCCTGGGTGGTGTACCGTATTTTCTCTAAATTCATACACGACATAATGTCCCTAATCCAATGTGAGTGGGAAGGAGGAGCAGGATCTTTCCACTTGAGTAAGATAGCCCTATGAGCTAATAAGGAGGTAAAGGCCAATACTTTCAGCTTCCCTTTAGGCAAGGCCAAATTTGGAGCGTTGCCAGTAAACGGGTTTGGCTCAATCTGATGCTGAAGTACTTCAGACAACGTTTGAAACACTGATGTCCAGAACTCATTCAAGGTGGGACACGTCCAGTACATGTGAAAGAGTGACGCAGGTGCGCTCTTACAGCTATCACAGGTCGGGTCCACATCAGGGAACATACGAGCTAGTTTGGTTTTAGATATGTGAATACGGTGTACTACTTTAAATTGCACAAGAGCATGTCGGGCACACATGGAGGTAGAATGAATCCGATCCAGGACTGAATCCCACATGTGATCTGTGAAGGCAGAACCTAGGTCCTGCTCCCACATGGTTCTTATAGCTGCTAATGAGGGGCTATGCAACTTTGAAATAAGGTTGTAAAAAACAGAAATTGTGCCTTTTAATGTGGGGTTAACAGAAAGAAACTTATCAACAGGGTTGTCTGGGGGTTTATTGGGGAATTGGGGAATCAACTTCTGTATATAATGCCTGATTTGTAAAAATCTGAAAAAATTAGTCTTTACCAAACCGAAGTTTTTTGTCAATTGAGAAAAACTAGCAAATAGGTCATTAATAAATAAATCGCCAATGCATTTCAAGCCTTTTTTATGCCAGATCTTAAATGCACCATCCACCATCGAGGGAGCAAACAAATGATTCGCTGCAATTGGGCTGAGAAGTGAAAAAATTTGAAGCCCAAAATTCTTCCTAAATTGGGTCCAGATTCGAAGAGCGTGCTTAATCACAGGGAAACCATTAGGAATAGCCGAGGAGAGTGGGAGTGCGGCGCTTAAGAGGGCAGATAGAGACAATGTGCTAATGGCGCTTGGTCTATTGTTACCCAGACTGGGGCTGAGTCGTCGAGGTGAAAATGCACCCAATACACTAAAGAACGAATATTAGCAGCCCAGTAGTAATATTGGAAATTAGGGAGGGCCATTCCACCTGTTTGTTTGGGTCTTTGAAGAAAAGCTTTCCGTAACCGAGGGTGTTTACCATTCCAAATATAATTTATCATTAAAGAGTCAAGGGCCTGAAAAAAGGATTTAGGGAGAAAAATGGGGAGACATTGGAAAAGATATAGGAACTTTGGGAGAAGTGTCATTTTAATTGAATTTATTCTACCTATAAGAGAAAAAGACAGAGGAGACCACTTCGATAATATCTGCTTCGTCTGATCCAATAATTTGAGGAAGTTCGATTTGAATAGGTTTTTAAAATTCCTGGTAAAACATACCCCAAGGTAACTCAGATTATCTGTCACCACCTTGAGTGGGAGAGCAGTATACTTGAGTTTAAGTGCTTCTGTATTAATTGGAAAGAGTTCGCTCTTACTTAAGTTAAGTTTATAGCCTGAAATTTGACTAAAGACCTCTAACACAGTAAGTGCCTCCGGTAGGGAGGTGGCTGGCTTTGAAACAAAAGTAAGTCATCAGCGTATAAAGACACCTTATGCTCGATTCCTCCTCTCCATATCCCCTGTATCAGTTCATTTCCGCGAATGGCAATCGCAAGAGGTTCGATTGCAATAGCAAAAAGGAGTGGGCTCAAAGGACAACCCTGCCGGGTCCCACGATGTAAATCAAAACTACTCGAGTAACGGCTGTTTGTTAATACTGAGGCTGAAGGGCATGCATATAAAAGATTAACCCAAGAAATGAAAACAGGACCCAGACCAAATTTTTCAAGGGTAAAAAATAAGTAATTCCATTCTACTCTATCAAATGCTTTTTCAGCATCCATAGAAGCGAGGCATTCTGATACAGTATTCTTGGGGGAATACAAAATGTTCATTAACCGACGGATATTATAAAAAGAGTGGCGTCCCTTTATTGTCACGACAGACTGACGGAAGCAAGTGCAGTTAAACTCTTTTATTTAAAGGTAGTAACAATGTGAGAGTCCAACACAGGCAAACAGGTAGGTGGCGCAGGAACTCCGATGGTCAGATGGAAGGTGAAGCAGAGGTGCGGTGAAAGGTGTCCAATGAGCGATAATGTCCAGAAAATCCACAGAACAAGAACCGGAACAAGGAAGGCAAGAGACTGGAACGCGACAGGAACACAGACACACCGGGGAAACCACATACAACGATCTGACAGGGAAGATGAGAAAGTGGTGAGTATAAATACACATGATCTGACAAGCTGCAGCTGGTGAGGGGATAATGAGCTGATAGATAATGAACGCTGACGAGCGGAACGCCCATCTAATCAGCGCGCTGACATATAACAACAGAAACACGAGACAAGAAGAAAACGTAGGATTTACCAACCGTGACAGCACCCCCTTCTCTAGGAACGCCTCCTGGCGTTCCCAGACCCCATTACCTGCCGATTGTAATCATCGATAAGGGAGTGATCCAGGATGTCTCTAGCCGGTACCCAACTTCTCTCCTCCGGACCGTAACCTTCCCAGTCCACCAAGTACTGGAATCCGCGTCCCCTCCGTCTCGAGTCCAGAACACGATTGACCGAATAAGTAGGTTCCCCGTCTACGAGACGCGGCGGGGGGGGGAACCGGGACTGGCGGATTAATGCGAGCAAAAAATACGGGCTTAATTTTGGAAACATGAAATACGGGATGAATCCTCCTGTACACTGGAGGAAGGTTGAGACGGACTGTCACTGGACTAATGATTTTAGTGACAGAGAACGGGCCAATGAATTTTGGTGCGAGCTTATTCGAAACGGAGCGGAGAGGAATATCCTTGGTAGAAAGCCACACTTTGGAACCGACGACGTATACGGGAGGCCTCCGCCGGTGGCGATCGGCTTTGGCCTTGGTGCGTGCCCCCACTTGGAGTAGAGTCTCGCGGGCTCTAGTCCAAGTGCGGTGACACCTCTGGACGAAGGCGTGGGCGGAGGGGACCGCAACTTCGGATTCCAGACTAGGAAAAATTGGTGGCTGGTAACCTATGCTACACTCAAATGGTGATAGGCCCGTGGATGACACTGGCAACGTGTTGTGGGCGTACTCCACCATAGACAATTGCTGACTCCAGGAGGAAGGATTCTTGGACACTAAACATCGCAATGTTCTTTCCAAATCTTGGTTGGCTCGCTCAGTTTGACCATTGCTCTGGGGATGGAACCCAGAGGACAGACTGACAGTCGCCCCCAGAAGTCTACAAAACTCTCGCCAAAATTTGGACACAAATTGGGGTCCTCTGTCAGAAACCACGTCTGTCGGGAGGCCATGAAGCCGAAAGACGTGGTCAATGACAACCAACGCTGTCTCCTTGGCTGAAGGTAATTTGGGCAAGGGAATGAAATGGGCCGCCTTCGAGAACCGGTCCACCACGGTCAAAACTACCGTGTGACCCTGGGAGGGTGGGAGGGCGGTGATAAAATCTAGTGCGATATGGGACCAGGGTCTCGAAGGCACCGGCAGCGGTTGGAGTAACCCATCTGGAGGTTGATTGGAAGTCTTACCTGTGGCACAAACTGAGCAAGCCAATACAAAACTGCGAACGTCACGAGCCATGAGAGGCCACCAGAATCGTTG